GCGGGGCGGGGCTTTGCGCTGGTGCTCCAGAGTCTCCCCCCGAAGGGAATCCGAAAGCAGAAGCGCAGCCCGCGCACAGGAAAACTGCCCCCCCCAGGACCGGCTCCTGCTGGGGCAGGACGGATCTCGTGGTTCCGGGGTGGGGGGAGGGAGAGGAGGGAGAGCAGAGGGACGGGAGGTGGGGACTGAGAGGAGGCGTGGAGGGACGGTAGGGAAGGGGTAGAGATTGGGAAAGGGATGGGAGTCAGGGAGACTGGAAGGGAGCTAGAGGGAGGGGGGAGAAGGTTGAGCAGGGGGGTCTCCTGCCCTGGTCCTGGGGAGCCCCAATCCAGTCAGTCTTATTGGGTGTCCTCCGGATCTCCAGCACTGGTCCTGGAGAGCCCCGATCTCATGAGTCTTTACCACAGGACAAGCTGGTCGTGTGCTCACCGGACTGAGGGGGAAAGAGGGGGTTGGCCAGTGGAGAAAAAAAATAGCACCCCAAGTTCCACGAAGGTGGACGCAGAGGAATAACAACTCCACAGGAGAAACAAATCCTACAAATCCTCCAGCAAATCCTACATGATCCAAGTGATCTGCAGCTCCCCCCAGTCCAGTCAGTCTTACAGGTCACCCTAAGTCAGGGGTCTCCAGCCCTGGTCCTGGGGAGCCCCAGTCCAGTGAGTCTTACAGGTCACCCTAAATCAGGGGTCTCCAGCCCTGGTCCTGGGGAGCCCCAGTCTTACAAGTCTTAAAGCAATCTGCTCGGTTAAGAGAAGTCTGATCCCTGAGGGGCAAAGAGCACTTTAATATCAGCCCTAAACGATCACCGAATTCCTTATTGTAACAGATCAACCTCTCCATGGATCTCGAAGGTGTTGTGGTCAAAGCCTGCTGGACCGGGGGCCCCCAGTCTGGCGCCGGGACACCCCCCTGGGGGAGAGGGTGGAGTGGCAGGTTGGCCCCCTCTCGCTCGTGTTCTTCCGAATGAGGAAAGGTTCTGAAACCCCTTGCCTCAGCTCCTCTGGGGCGATTGCGAAAGGGCGATCACGAAACGCCAGCGGCCCGGGGCTTCCTCGTGTCTCGTCCGGCAGCGGTCGCGTTGTCGTGCTCTTGCTCTTGCGATCGTCTCGATGG